TTTTCTTTAGCATCCCAGGTTCAATCCCCATCCCTGTCCGTTTCGATCTGGGTGAGCATCGTACCGGCGTGCGGTCGTGTATCACTACTGCGTGGTGCACGTTAAAGACCCCAGGTTAGCGGTTGTACCGCACTGGCTAAATTGCTCATCTACTCCAGACGCCCACTGAGGCAGACTAACTTCCGGCTGTATAAACATACACACAATTTGCCTTCGCTGTTCGTGTAAAGGGAAGCGCCGTCATTCACGGTGCCGCTTCAAAAAAGTCTCAAGAATTTCGAACTAGGTTAATTCCGGTTACATTCGGAGTATCGCCACCGTTTTCGACGTCAACATAAGATTTTGTTCTTATGTCGTACGGCACGGGTGGCATTTTGTCCACGCGGCAGCAACGATGTTTTGCACAGGTTCGGAGCACTGCTTCGAAAGTATTCGTCGGACCAAAGTACCGTTCGATAGCCGAAATGGTCTAGGCCCGAAGTCCTCGACTTGTATCAACACCAACTAGAATAATCAAAGCCCGTGCAGCGGCACTTCGACGTCATCACAGTGAGATAGGGGGCAGACACCGATTGGACAACGAGCACCGCGTCGGCGTTCGGCCGGGCGCCATTTCCCTGTGTGCCGACGTTACGTGGAGCGAGGCTGTCCACGGGCTTCGGGCATTTTAGGTAGTGTTGGTAATATACAACGCGGATGCCCTTATACCCGAAAAAGCGGCGACAAATCCCCACTCCGAGCTGAGTCGACGGTGTCGTCGGGTCTTCCGAATACTTCCGGAGACGGTGTCGCCGAAACTTCCGAATAATTCGTGCGAGAACCTTCATCTAGATCGAATCGGAGAGCAGCCCTAATGCAACTATGCTTAAAAAAAGAAAAAAAGAAAAGAGAAAAATTAGTATTGCATATCTTTAATAGATTTGTCTTCCAGCAAAATGTGACAGACGAAACTTCAAAAATTTGTCCCCCCCCCCCCCTCCCTCCCGCCCCCCCCCCCCCCCCCCCCCCAAAAAAAAAAAAAAAAAATAGAGCGGTCGTTAAGAACGTTAAATAGCAAACAAAAGAAACTTCGAGTTCGGATTTGTTCAAGGCGATCACGGGAAAAAGAAGAAATGAAAAGGATGAGACATGACGAAGAAAAAAAATTTGGACTACACCCACTTCAGAGCCTCAAACTCGACTTTTTGCGCCGACAAACTCCGTCCTTCGGGCGACTTCAGCACGTAGACGGACGAGTTCAGAGCACATTTTCCATCGTGGGGCCAACCGGAGTAAGACCCCAAAACTTTGGCGGCCAGACGCGATGGATGACGGGAGCGTCGAATGCGCCCCGTGCCAATGGAAGTCGACTGCGTGGACGGAGGAGCAGGCGTACTCGCGCGATGCGCCTGCCGCAGTTGTACTGCGGCACCTGGAACGCGTCTCTGAGTGGTGAAAAAATATTCCAAAAGCCGGGAATCACAATGATAAAAAAAACTGCTCCGACTTTACTCAACAAGATTAACATCCCTGCTTGTAGGTTTCACTGAAGATGTTTCCTGCATGGGAGACGAAACGTTTGATTAAATTGTTAATCTTGTTGAGTAAAGTCGGAGCAGTTTTTTTGATCGTCTCTGAGTGGTACGTGTAGCGAGCGCCCTCATTTCCGCCAATGCACCGAAAATGGTCCCAAAGTGGCAACAGATTTCGTCACAAAAGCCAAAGTGTCATGCTGTCGGATGCCGCGATCCTAACAGTTGTGCGTAAAGATAATGAAAAAGAAAGAAAAAGCACGAGACGACGCGAGGGTTGTTGTCAATGCGGTGTCCCAACTCCAGGCTGCCGACGCCTCCTTGAACCGTCAAGCTGGACAGCGACCCGCAGCAGAACAGGCGCCAGACGGGCACATTTACCACAGTTGTTGCCACGACACCGCCAGGATCGCGGCAGGCGACAGCACGCCACTTGGATGACGTCATCAGGCGGAAATCGATTCCAAAGACATTCTTGTTTTGTTTTGTCGGAGACGGCTTCTAGGTATCGTACCTTTACGTTCAAATTTCTGGACGTGTCTGAAACCACAGCGCCCACGATGTTAGCGCGATTGTCTGGCACCGTGACGACAGTATTCGTCCGCCCGTGCCGCGTGACACTTGATCACGTGTCAGCGGCTCCCGGGCGCCTTCGTTTTGTCGCGCAGAGGCCCGAAAGCGCCTTTCACAAAAGTTATGGCCCTGAAGTGAAAAATTTTAAAAATATTGATAAGGTGTTTATAGATTCTGGCAACCTCATTGCCGTGGTATGTTTTAACAAAACAGGACGACGAAAAGCGCTTTCTGCTTGTTCAGTTTCGCACGTCTGCGAAAGATAGTGACGACGGTAACATAATATAGGCAACACTAGGGAACTTTAGCGCATCGTTCCGACAACCCCGGCATCGCTACCCGATAAAGATACAATGCGCACGCAAAGTCGCCGGTGGACTATGGAATATCGTTATCGGAAAGATCTACCACCGAGCTCGACGTTCGTCCCAACACATGGCCTACAAAGTGTCTCCCCTTCCAACATGTGCGTCGGCTCGAACGCCAGGCTATGGGGCCTCAGCCATGCGGGAGGAACGGACTGTTCGTCTATGCTCGATGTCCCCCAGCCAGGTTACTGATCTGTGACATTTGACCGGTTCCTACCCGCCTAAGCCGCTCTCTTCCAGCGTCCTCTTTGTGACCTCGACCGTTTTAAAATCCCGTCCTTCCATCGTCAGCGGCGAAACCCTGGCTTTCGGGCCGTTTTCCCCTGCATTGTTTCCTTCGACAAATGGCTCGTGCGTTTGTCTTCACTTTCGTTGCCCTCTTTTCCGCGAAAGGATAGATCCTCTCGCGGATTGGGGTTGTCCGCGTGACAAATAGCACCACTGCACACTGATATTCTCACGGCACGCGCATTATTCAGCACGTTTCCTATGTACCGTTAACAATCGTTAGCAATTTTTTAGTTTTTTTTCTTTCTTTCTGCTAAGTGCTGTAACCAGACTTTAGGGCACCGTTAAAAGAATCTTGTGTTCTTTGCCTTAGCTTCGCACCTTTTTTTTAAATTAAAGAATGCAGATTTAGTAATTCGATACTCTTGCATTCGTCAATAGGTCTTTTACTATACGCCTCAAATGTACGACTGATATTTTCGACGAATAGGCAGAAGAAAAAATATTCATAACGCCACCGATTATTCGGCGGTTATAAACGTTTTACTCCAGATAAATTGGCGAATGTCACGAAAACGCTGCCCATGTCGAAAATGTGCGATCGGAACGGCTCAACGAATGAAAGAAATAGTTCTCATATCCTCACCACCATACGTTCCCTCGCTTTCGGAAACTTTTTAAAGTTTTTATTTTCTTGTGTTGGCGTCGTATTTACGTAGTACTAGCACCGATAAACATCCATTTGATGTTAGGAAAATGTAAGCAGATTTACTACTCCGTGCACTGTCAGAAACACGTGGCGGTGTAGCGTAGATTGGAGCAAACCCGTCACTCTCGCGCAGGCTGAGTGAGGCCGTGTTGCCTGTACACGCCGTGGTCGCTGGCAAGGTGACATAATTCTCGCGCATCCAAACTTAATTTATATTTAAGTAAGGCGGGGTTGCCTAGCCGATTTAAAGCCGGCAGACTGCTTCAGGATAACAACCGAAGCATGTACCACTTAGAAAAGAGGAAGCGCCAAATGCACACCAATGTAAACAAAACTTAATTTATATTTAAGTAAGGCGGGGTTGCCTAGCCGATTTAAAACCGGCAGACTGCTTCAGGATAACAACCGAAGCATGTACCACTTAGAAAAGAGGAAGCGTCAAATGCACACCAATGTAAACAAAATGTGAGCGAGTATGTTATAAAAAATAGTGCTTAAGTAGGTTCTCACACTCGAAAACAACCTAATTAATGTCAAGCACTACACGAGTTTTACCTATATAGTGCATACTTCACAACCAGGAATGCGGGACTTTCAACTAAAGCGTAAAACCGAACGTGGTTTGCACAAGACGCGACCTGATGACTTCGCTACAATCACCAGTATTGTTAGATGATGTCACGGTGTGAAAGATTGAGATTTGTAAAGGAAAAAGAAGGAAGTCGGGGGGGGGGGGGGGGGCGGGGGGGGGGGGGGGCAAAATTAAAAGCCGTTTTTGTTAAAGCCTGACGATAGCTTTGTTCAATTGACAGACAGCAACGTTATCAATCCAGTTGAACAGTACTCGTCAGACTTGTTTCGTTGTCTGCAATGCCGTTTAGAACTTCGAAGACAAGGTCCAAATAGGTCAATGACGTCTACTGCAAGCGATTTATTCGCGACAAGGTCACGTCGAAACAAAGTAAATAAGCATGTCTCATTGAAAAAAGAAAAAAAGAAAATCGGATACAAACAAGAGGCATGGCCACTACAGAAAAGCAAGATCGCAGCAGCATAGATAAGTTACGTCCGCGTGTCACGTAGGGCCAGTACTCCTCGGCAAGACCTCATCTAGATCAAAACTAGGGCAAGACGCCGAACGCGATAAACATAGCCCGATACGATGACTTGACTCAGCTAAGTAGCATAATGAGTCAGCGTTCCGAAGTATGTCTCGCGTTTGTTATCATCGACCAGCCCAGCATGAGTAACACGCTCCGATCGCGAGTCTTATTCTCCCGGAATTTTTCGCAACACTCGCCAGCAAATTGATTCGAACGACAAAACGCGTCCTTCAGAATCAAACGAAGCGGGAAACCGATGGTATCCGTGCAAGACTAACTGCGCCAATCCAGGCGCGGCTTAAAACAGCGTAGACGGTTAGCGATGCACGTGACTCTCTTGCGCCCAGCCCCACCGTGTGCAGACTAACTTAACATGTCTGATAACTGTCATTCTACGATCATTAGTTTTGTGGTCGAGGGAGGAGCGTAGCGCGCACATTTCAGTCGACAAGCGGGGTGCTACGCCTTTTTAGTACGGCCGAGGACCGGGGTGCATAAGGTTGCTCACCTGTCTGAAGCACAGAAGACAGCACGCATCCTAGCAACGCCAGTGCACAAGCGCCCAACACTCTCATGGTCTCCGAAGCCGCCTTAGCACCACACCTCAAAAACAACACCACAATCTCTTCTCCTCGAGGACCACGTAGTACGTATCCTGGGGGGTTGGACTGGACGGCTTGGCCCGCCGAAAACTCCGGCGCCGCTGGGGGCTTCTCAGCCTACGGCACCGCAGATCCGCCGAGTCCTCATGGCGCGTCGTCGCCGATGGTCATCCCGTCCACAAAGACACACGACAAGACACTCGGCAAAGAAGGCCTCCTGCGCTGCTGCTGCCGCCCGCCACAAGGCAACGTTGCAACCGCTTGGTCGCTTGGTCCCGCGCCGATGGCCGGGCCTGTAATTTCGAGGGAGCCTCTTCTTTGGCTTGGGTCACGTAGCGTAGACTCCGCCTTCCCGGCACTGGCTCGACTGGATGCCAGCAGGAGCTCGCTGGCCGCGGACCCTTTCCACCCTCCCTCCTTGCGGATCAAGATGCGCCTCCTCGCCCTGCGATGCCCTCTTTCTTTCTACCTGCGCAGCGCCGCCGGTGAACAAATGCAGCTTTTCCAAGTCGAGGAGACTTGAGGAGCAGTTCGAGGGGAGCGGATGTTAGCGGATGGCTGTTGCGGGGAAGCGGCGGATTCCGCGCGGTGAGAATGAGGGGGGAAACGCGGCCGCGTGGTGGCGCTCGCGAGGACGCCCTTGAAGCCCCCTGGAGGCTCGCGCCTGCGTTTCTTGGGGGGAGGTTGGCGAGGATGCGGATAGGGTGTATCCATGGGCCGTTCCGTAAATATGGCTTATATGAGAGAGAGAGAGAAAGAGAGAGAAAAAAAAAAGCTTTTGTAAAAGTAGCAAGCTGGTTTATTTGTCGGTGCGCGAAAAGAAAATACGCAAGCTGTCCGGACCCGCTAGGATGTAGTCGTACTTGTTAAATGGTCATTCCATCTCAAACGCCTCAAACGTTTCACTCGACCATTTCCAATAAAAAAAAAAAAAAGAAAAGGAAATTCATGGCTTCTTACTTTAGGATCTTTATCCTCTTCCTAAACTATTTTCGCCTAAAAAAAGAAAAAAAAAAACAGCACAAATATGGCGTGAGCGTGGTCTGAATTTCTAAAATGGGCGTAAAACAAGGCATCTTCAATAATTGAGTAAAAATCATATTTTATTCGAAACAGTTCACGAATTGTTTTATGAAATTCGAACAGCTTTGAGCTTGCTCTGTTGTTATAATTATGCGATTTTTTCGTTAAAACAATTTTTTTTTAATTCAGCCAAAATGCGCAAAAATAAGTTCATTTCTCTCTTTTTTTAAATTTTATTATGGCTTTGTGCCTCTCAATTCAAACTTTTTTGTTGGAAGCCCTGTAGATGTATTAAAAAAAATGTTTGAAGCTGTACAAGGAAGTACTTCACAGACAGAAACATTCTAAAGTTGTAAAAAATCCAGTCTTGCTGCCTAAACAGCCGTCTATTGTACCCTGAGGTGGCCCAAGTACGAATACGAACCATAACGAAGAAGCCGCTACTGCGCCTGCGCGCCGATGGCCTTGACTGCAGAGTTCCGGGCATCGTAGCGGGTTGCGTAGAGCGCTGTAGGACGGTGAAAATGACCTATAAAAACTACCTACTAAGGTGCTTTTCCCCGTGGCAGAACGTTCAAGTATCGAATCCCCTTCTGTAGTAACTGTGTTGTTATTCGGCCCTTTTTTGTATCTTTTTTGTATGGCAACACACTCAGTGGCGCCATCGATTAGACAGCCCCGGATCACTTACGGTTAACGTTTATCTCCTATTTTTTTATCCATCATTATTTTATCATAAGAGGGAATTAAGTCTGCAGTGCTATAAGTGGTCATTTCCAGAAGATATCGTGTATATTTAATTTCTCAAATACTGCGAAACCTGCAGTCTAGTTCAGAACCGTAAGTGGTTGGGGTCTTTTGCACACTGGCGCCACCACGTTTCAACTCGCGCAAGAAAGAGCGAATACATTGAATTAGCGACTATGCGACAACCCGCACTGCAGAATATGCGAGTGCAGCTTCATATTTCGTCATTAATCATATAGGAACGAACGGTTTGATTTCTAGCGCGTTCCAAATTCGGCGTTTTCCCGACATTTGCCAGAATTAAACTCGATAATGATGTCACACCGGTGCACACGGGTGCGCTCTGGTGACGCGGTGCTCTGGTGTCGTGTGCTCTAAAGTCCTTAGATCAGAGCTTCCTACAAGTAGCAACAAACTTTGAAGCGCCGACTGCGTGACGGTGCAGGTTTTACGAAGCGAATGGCGGCGCGCAGCAGAGGTCTGAACTTAATGACGCCATTTTGTTCTAGCGGAATATGCTTTGTCAATTGTATCGGTTGTCGTTACTTGTAAAAAAAGTATCAAGGGACTTTAGACGCTCTATAACGTTATACGGCCCACTATGGAACGTTTGGAAACATTTGGCTTTTGTTGCATTTACCGTAAGAAGAAAGGGACAAGTAAGTAATGCAAAGTTTCAGATGGCTTTCCTAATGCCACACTCCTTAGGACGCAAATACTGTCCTAGAAAACGCGTCCCGAAGACGCGAAGGAGGTGTGTGCTAAGGAATATGCGCCTCCTTGATAAGTTTTTGTACAAAATTTCCCATAATTTCCCCATTTTTCCTGAAGAAAAACAGATACTCTCGGAAGACCAGTATTTTTCAGCGATTCAAACTTCGCTAAATTTTTAAATCTCTAGACTGCTTCGTTGGATGCGTTCAGAGCAGGGACTCAGAGCGCAACCGAAACCGAAAACCGTGTAGGAACGAAATTTTTTTTCAGTAACCGTAACCGGAACGAAACCGTTATTTGAAATTTATGAACAACGTAACCGTAACCTTAAATTATTTGCTAATAACAGAAATTAAACAAAAATTAAAAATATTAGTTTTTCTCAAAAATTACTTTGAGGGGGGATCTTAAAATGCCGTGGCCATTTGACAGAGATGACCCTCAGTAATTACTGAGGGTCATCTCTGTCAAATGGCCACGCTGCAGCTAGGGATGTCACGAACCGCGGTTGACGTTTGAGTTCGACCAGGTTCGACTTTCTTTAACTTTTATTGAAAAGGTCGAGAAAGTTCGACTAGGGTTCGACTGTTAGGCGCATGCGCGACGGGCTGGCTCAGTTGGCTTTGGATTGGGGGGTGATGAGTCGACCAAATGAACGATGAGATTACGACAAAATGATCAAGTCAAACATTCTACTTTTGGTAAGGGAAGCACTGTTTGGTTGAATAAATTATGTTATTAACGTTTACGTTATTAGAATAATGTTCCGTTGATTGTAACTTTTTATAATACGAAACAACCTATTCCGTAAAAACATTTTCTCCAAACCTAGGCATGCTTGTATCAAAGTCTAGCAGCACTGTTCAAAAAGTCGATCCTTCTGGAACCTGGGTTAATGTTTGAAGGTTTGTCGAACCAGTCGAACGTTGAGGTTCGACGTAAAAATATGGCTCGACAAAAGTTCCTGACTTCCCTAGTTGAAACATGTCTGTAGGAGAAGCTCCGCCTCCAAACCCCGGAGAAAAATGGCGCGACTATATAAATGCACAAATTTTCTAGCGTCACAGAGTCATACAGCGAGAAACGTGCGCTTTTATAACCACGTGCATTTGCTTGGAAATAGCAAAAATGACATAGGTGTAACAGCGCAGAACAAAGAAGACAAGGGAAAGGAACGAACAACACAGGACATATTTTTACAGCTTTCTGTGCTGTTCGTTTCGCTCCTTAGTCTTCATTGTTTTGCGCTGTTGCATTTACATTATGTTTGACTTTCACCAACTAGCCCAGCTCTCCATTTTATAACTTCATTATACTCAGCAGTATTTAACTAGTGGAGGGCTATAGTTCTGCGCCTTCCTTTAGTGTGAGTGATGTTTCTTCTGCATATCTTAGGTTGCCACAAACTGCAGCGACGAGGAGGCCTGCGAATGGTTCTTCCAGCACCAAGTGGAAACATTCTGATGGTTGTTTACAAATGCTGCCGAACCACAAAGTAACGATGGTTATTTTATTTCTTTATATTTTATATAGAATGCGATGATCCCCGAGTAGCGAAGGTAAAATGTATGCGGGGGTATCAAACTTTATAACACAAATATATGTGGTGAAGAAGTGTTGGAGCTAGAAACGTGTGCAACTTTTGACCAATGAAAAGTACTAAGACGTTTTCGAGTTCTTGTTATTGTGGACGTCCCGTTGTTGGATATCTGTGACTACTTGAAACCGTTTTTCATAAAACGGCTGTCTAGCATTGGAATAAAACAATTTATAGAAAAACGAAAAAAAAACCCGGTTTTTAGGAACGTGTAATTGGTAACCGAAGCCGTAAAAATTAAAACTGTTAAAAAACCGAAACGAAAAGGATATTAATAGGAAACGGTAATCGTAACCGTAACCGAATTGTTGTATTTTTCGGTTTGAGTCCATGGTTCAGACTAACTGAAAAGACAGCAACAATAGCCACCGGGACAAGTGATCACCGCACACAAGCTACTAGTCACGAGTAATGTTGGATATCTACGTATAGCGGCCTCCAAGGCTCAAGTCGTATACCGAGCTGCCTGTCGTTTCTGCCGTTTTGGTTGTTGTGTTCGCCACCAATTGACCGAACCAGACCTAAACTTTGACAACGATAATTCGACACCCACACAACGGAAGATGTTTTTATATTCAGGCAAACAGAAGTTGAGAACATTTTTTTTTTCGACTCGTATTTGAGGCCACTGAAATTATATTTTATTCAGTTGTCCTGCACAAAAAATATACAAAAAAAATTTGAGCTTGTTCATTACCTAAAGATGCGGAACCGCCTTCCCGCACCCTCAGGGTCTGAGTCGTTTCATTTAAAATTGTGATAACCAATCAATTTTGTTAATCCTTGACCGCTCATGTTTTTACCGAACTCCTGTACTAGACCTGTTTATATCGTCCTTTTTTTCCCCTCTGTGCCTCCTGGCTCTAAGGATATTGAAATAAATAAAAAAAAAAAAACATACTTAATGAAGAAGAAAAAAAAAACTAAATTAAATTTGTTTTCCGCATTCTTTGAATGTCGAGCAATGCGCTCTTTTATTCTTGGTTCCATTAGGTATACTTCTGACAGAAGTGTCATGTATGGTCACAGATATGGCCTTTCTGTACGGGTACCCGAACCGCCTTCCCACAAAACGTCCATTGGCATAGAACAGCACGTCTCTGCTGCAGATCGAATGACATGCACCCGGCGAGGGAACCAAACTGGTGAGTGAGGCCTTGCTTTACCGCCCTCTCCCGATGGCGCAAGGACTTTGAGAAGCGGCCCGCGGGCAGGAGCGAAGGAACTCTTGAGACCAGGGATGCTTCCAGAGATTCGCCTCTTCTCTCGGGGCGCTCGTTTTTACCGT